AGACACGAAAGAGGCCCGATGATAAAATTAAATAATAATATTGACACACTTTGTTCACCAGCGGATTGCCTTGTGTGTAATTACTGTAACGTTTTATTTATTTATTAGAGTTGTACATTGCAATTGCTGTATTTTAGTTTGGCGATCTTTATAGTTAATTAGGACAAGATAAGGAATGAGTATATCAGACGAAATGTGAAAGTAGCCGCGATGATTGACAAATTAAAGTGCGGACGGTTAGCGTGGTATGGACATGTGATACATAGACAGGAGACGCCTGTGACTAGGAGATGTATGGAAATGCTAGTGCAAGGTAGAGGGGAAAGAGGTCGACCGTAGAAGACATGGATAGTGTTTGAATGACGATATGAGAGAACGAGGTGTGAGTGTTGAGATGAGGGCTGATAAAAGAGAATGGAATAGAAAAAATCGCTGCGCCGACCCCATCTATTCGGATAAGGTGGAGACAAAGATGAAGGAGATCTTTATAGCTAATTAATTGTAAGTATGTTCAGGCATCTCGCCTGGTGATAAATGGACTGATGGTATATCGGCACACTTCGTTTTAAGTTTTTACCGGAGCTCATTATGACGTTCAAGGCTCAATTGTATTGTATAGCGGCTCTCGCTCTCTTCAAACCGAAATGCACAATTTCCGCGCGGTACCTATCAGTGCAAGCTCGCTTTTTTTCCCTTACCTATGCTGATAGCCTTGAGAGGCTATATCAGTGTTACCCTAGCGTGTAGACGAACTCTCGGGGCTCAAGTCGAAGTTGTTGCTAACACTGGCCCTAGCAAGAGCAGTGCTTCGCAGAATCTACCACCGGATCGGAAACGCGATCCTGAGAAGATCCGGCGAGAAACTCAGTGGGCTGCGAAATCGCAAGACGATGTACTATTAGTACAAAGTACCGAATTTCTTCTTTGACGGTCAGTCGCGTGTTTCAGGACTTTATTGGCACGTTTTAACATAGATATTTTGGTTGACTGGGACAGACAGCATTATGTTTTGGATATACCTAAATTAAAATTTTCTCATTTACTTTTTCTATACACGTTCGTTACTTTTGTGTAGAAAAGTGCAATAAAGAGTTTCATACTGTATTTAGTTCTTAGATTTTGCAACGCTCAAATCTACTAAACTAAAATACATATATACTAAACTACAAATAATAAGCAGCCTCATACTATGTTGTTTATAAATAGAGTAACCATGCGAAGGTATAATATTATTCAAAATAATCTATATTTTTATGCAGTAACTTGAACCGTTAATTAGTGTGTGAGAGGTTCAAGGAACTAGTGGCTGATTGGACGAGACACATAAGACAGTGATCGGGTTTAATGTTCGGTCTGATATCAAGTACAATTCGTATTTTTATTAATGTTTAGTGTTTCGTGTTCTCAATGTGAAATATACAATATGAGTACCATTCTGGTAGTTTAAGTTGTTTTGTTATTTTACATCATTATTATCGCTATCAAAGGGTGATTAATCCAACAAAGACGTAAGCGAAGATCTCATCTGTCCAGCGCAACGGTTGAGGGCATCGAGATCAGAGCCCCGGACCTCGCCTGCAGCCAGTCCTTTGTGGAGATTCTCGAAACAAGTGAGGGGCACTTTGAAGTCGAGCACGGCAGGTAATTTGGAAAAACGTTATTTAATTAACTTTCGACAAGTCTGCGTAATCGCGTTACAAAGCCGCCGGGCAGTCTTTGAGCTGGTAGTGGCCGAGGGCGTTTCCGTAACCGGACTTGATTTTTACGCCAAACGTGCCTACTATAAAGGTACTGTCATTTCCAGGTGTTTTCCAATTAACATGCCTGCTTTGACCACGTCCGCACAAAGTAACACCAACTGGCACCGCCTGTTCGATGCCAAACGCACGGTTTATTAAAGGGGTGTTGCGGCTGTTTATACGAGATTTTTTAATTGAAAATCATTTTAATTAACGGAACTTGAAATCGATTACAGTCGTTGTTAACTCGTTTGTTTATTAGTTCAAAGTTGTCGGTTCATTAACAGGGTGGGACAATAGTTTTATGAGTTGCCGAAATAAGTTTGGGGAGTGTTTAAACTTCGGAATTGGTTGGCAGTGCATTTTGTGAAAGCGCCGTAAGCAAGTCCGCACACAGAGCGGAACGGAGGCGCCCGCGGCGGCCGGACCTCTGGCTTCGGTCGCCACTCAGATAATTAACTCTATGAACTGTCTAGTTGCCCACACTTGTTAATTTGAAGCCCTCAATACAAGCGAGATTAAATTAACGTGTTTTTATTTATTAAGTGCTTTGTTATTTATGCGGTCCGGAGTCAGCGCATTCCGGTCGAGTGACTCCCTGATATAAACAAAGCCAGTCTTTGTGCAGTGTTCAATGAACAGCTTAATTGTATTTCTTCGCCACACTTCTGCTCCTCTTTGTTATTCGCACGTCTCATAATTGAAAGCTTTATGTATTACCTGTGTCGTGTGGGAAGCTTATGCTGGACATTAGGTTCTCATATCTACGCTTATCAAGTCGTGTTGTTTTGTAACGACTTCGTATATTAACGAGGTAACTGAATATTGCTTGGATTGTAATTTGGAACATTTCTAAAGTGCCGAAAATTATACACATGTACAACGGCGCATAACATTTTTAGATAAAAAAAAAACAGTTAATTTTGAGAATCAAAATTAATTTTGTATTTTTTTATTGCTGGTTTATGCTATGTTATTTTAATTACAAAAAATCGTTTTGTATTTTACTAAATGGTAATTTAAATGAAGAGCGGTAACATCGAATGGAGTTGCGTTTATAATGGCGGGCACACGTCAAGTCACTCTATTCTCTCGTTGACAGCGGTTGCACGTGGTGGTCATTCACAAGGCCTTTGTCTCTAAATCACTAATTATCATGGTAATCCCTGATTGTTAAAGTAATTGAACCGTCTAATTAATTAAAATAGTGAATAGTCAATACTGCAGTCCACATATTTTAACTTTTCCTGAATTTCAACGTCCAACACGGATCATGTGCTGACGAGGTCACGAGTCAACAATAATATGCGACCGCCCGGTCACTCATCGCCCTGACCTATACATATATGTATGGATTGTTAACTAACATCGTGCAAACGAACGAATCCCGATTTTTCAACGTTTTAGAATTACCCTTGGCTCTTGACTGTTAATACAAAAAATCACCGTATGTTGCCCGTAATCTTAATTTCGGTTGAAGTACCTCTCATATCTCATAGTGTAAATATCAGGGAGTGACTCCGTCTTGAGCTTATAACTACTGAATTTTTAAACAGTACCGGAGATGTCGTATCACGGAAGAGACGAGCTGCTCCACGTTTTTATAATTTCCACTCGACGTAAATCTCAAAACGTTTTAATGGTTTCCATATAGCTATTATGATTAAAACTAATTTTGTCATTATATTATTTCCGACGCTTCGTATAATTTACAGTTTTAATTGTGTCTGAGAGGACTTGCAAAACTTGTCCGAGCGTGGGATAGCCCCTTAGGCTACCAGCGAATATGTAGAAAAATCAAAGAAAAAAATATAAATGACAAACTTGCGAACTCTAACGAAAATCCTATTTAGCTATTAGTTTTTTCTTATTGGACAGCCGACCTAGTGTTAGATTGTAACTGGACTTGATAGTAGTATTAAGGCAATCGCATCCTTCTCACGGGAACGCACGACTACTTAGATGATAGAAATAGGATCGAAGACCTACCCACTCGGGCTTAAAATACGACCTACAACCAGTAATTAAGCTTTTTATTGCGCTGACCACCGGTCCGTCTTGAGATTGTAGTTTCAATTATTTTGTTATATCGGCAGTACCTACTTTTAAATCGGTCAACACAAATAAACTGTGTTTTCAATAAAAACAATATTAGCATTTTAAGCTTGTAAATATTCGCAAGTTTTCATTGAGGTCGGCATATTCAGTGAAAATATTAGTTTAATAAGGTTCGAACTATCTAAGCCCTTTCGGTAACTACGTGGTTTTCCTCGACTCAATGTGTCCAATGAAAGTCAATAGTAACGTTCAAAGGGCAATCAAGCATCGGTTAATTATTATCGTTATTAATTATTGTTAGGAAATAAATAATGAATACACAGTCACGACACGTTAATCACTCCACAAAAGGTCAAACGTGATCGCGCCCACAAATAACATTGTAACGATTTGCAAGCTGTTCGCTTACAATGAAAAAAAAAGCCTAATGATTTTCGAATGAATCGAATTTCGGTTTAATAAATTAATATTATCAATCAATTCGTATTTGCATTCAGTCGATTCTGTTATAAGCGGACTCGTGAACGTTGCATCTAACAGAATTCGACACGTAATTAAATATTGTTCCTATTTCTGTGGCAATGCGGTTCCGATATCCGATTTGGTACAGCCGTTGTATTTACAATACAATTGAGAGACTTTGAACTGTTTTAAGTTCGGTGATGGCAATGTGCTTAGAGCGAGTTTTTTAACGTTCTCGATAGCGTGAAAGTTATCTCAAATTTGTATGCAGTTTGAACAGCGCCCCTAGCGGCAAACGTAGGCAAACGCTCCAACTCCATACAAATTCCATACAAACAATACCCAACTCCATACAAACACACAAACGTTAAAAAACTCGCACTAAGCACACTGAATATCAGATTATGCCCAAAACACGTCATTACGGATCCTCCCGATCCATTAACGGTGTTTTTAGGTACCACAAGCACCGGTCACCGTCTTCGTCGAACCCGTCGCTTGCGACGAAGGGCTCGGCGAGCGAATTAACCCATAGGCACAGCCCACTCAGTTTCTCGCCGGATCTTCTCAGTGGGCCGTGTTTCCGATCCGGTGGTAGATTCTGCTAAGCACTGCTCTTGCTAGGGTCAATGTTAGTATCACTCCGATTTGAGCCCCGTGAGCTCATCTACTAGTTAAGGTTACGCTGAAATAGCCTCTCAATCAGCTTAGGTAGGACAAAAAATAATAATTATCTGTTACCTGTTCATAGTCCTGGTGCGAGTGCTGCGCGTAGGCGGGTGGTGCTCATTCCCGCGAGCGGCGAGGGCGGCCGACCTTGCCTTTGCGCACGGGAGCAGTAGCGCCCTGGCCTGTTGCGTTCGCGCTCTTCATTAGCTTCTGCCAATCCTGCTCGCAAACTAATGAGCCCGCGAGCATATAATACCTAAACAACAATATAATTCATGTTACGTTATTGTTTTATTATATACATAATATATACACAAGGTGTAAAAAGATTGTCCACGAAGCAGAACGTAAACGGGAATTTATGTCTTATAGAAATGTGACGTTTGTTTGATTATGAGTAATTAAAAAAAACGTATTTTAAACGGTGGATTTTTTCCCGTATTTTGGATACTGGAAAGTAATACGAGAATAAGTATATCCAGACCCCAAATATCAAATCTCATTAACCAAGACACTGACTGATCCAGTCAGGATAACTAATCACTTGACCAACGAGGCGATAACATACCTTTGATAAACTAAGCAATGTAATATGAAGGCAGTTGGTAGACACGGCCCACGTTCCCTCGAGACTGGATTTTGGGCGTTTTACATTGCGTGCATTTAATCAACTTTAGAATCTGATATGTGATTTCTTTGTTGGTTTTTCTTCAAGAATTACCAGTTTTGAAGCATGATTCCATTGCACCCTACATTAGTTAATAAATAGATATTTGATGCATTATAGCTTTAAACTGTTATGTTGGTAGGTGTTTTGTCATACCTATCGCCTTGCATGAGGTGGGAGCCGCATTTGGAGCACGCGAAGCACTTTATGTGGAAGACGTGGAGCGGTTGTTGGGGCGCGTTCGTTCTCATCACGAATTCGCTGGCCGGTATCGCTTGCCCGCAAGCTGCGCACGCGCCTCCGGACCCGAACATTCTAGAACAAAACGAAATTTGCCTGTATAAATGAGAATTTTGATAGCGAGATATAAATACATATATGATTAATTATGTTTGTGTACGTATGCGCTTTTTTAAAGTGCTAAATTATAAAATATCTAGTTTAGAAATTATGTTGTATTTATACGTCAAATAGGTTCTGAATTTTTATGTATTTGCTTATCCAGTACCAAGTAAACTCGTTTTAAATAATAACTGAATTTGATAAATGAAATCACATAATATCATGTCCGACATGATTAAAAGTTTAAACTAGATTAAAATAAAAATCGACTCGCCCTTCATGAGGAAGTTTTAAGGCAAAAAAAATGGCCGGGCTGTTAACATCAAGAACTATAATCAGTTCAATATTAAAATATGTTTTATTCGTATAAGTCATCCGTGGTCTTGTAAATAAGTTACTCTGTTCTCTGGGTAAGACGTTCGTATCGAATCATGCACTAATGCAGACTTAAACTCGTTAAACTCGAAACAAATATAAAATATATTTTTTTTAGAAATTTTTTTTAGAGATTTTTAGAACTAACAATTATTCTAATATTATTTTTATTTTGTTGACACTAGTGTAATAATCAGTCCTTGATGCGGTTCAAAATTTTAAAATTAATCGAACAATTTCATTTCGGTGAAAATTATGTACAAAGAGTCCGTTACTCATAAACATACATACATACACATATACCAAGCTAAAAAAAGCGTGTTAAAAACAAAACATATTCCTTCCTTCAAGTTCAAGAGATTGACAACATTTAACGACTATCGTAATGCTTACGACCGTGCAGTATTATTCACACAAGAAACAAACGAGTAAAAACTCCAACGTATTGAATGGGTCGTTAAAAATTATAATCAAATAAATCATTATATTAATGGCGTATTTCCTTTCTGTTATGACGGTTCAATCTAAGTGACGCAGCAATGTACAGTGGGCGAATTCTCGACGGCCGCCAAACATGGTACTTTCGATCTAATCATTGAATGTCTGTTCGCAAATAACAACGGCAAAAATGATTCAACGGCAAACTTTTAATTTTTTAAATAAATGAACGAGCTCACGCGCCCTCGTGGTGAATACATCTTAAGAATTGTGGTAGTAGTCTCAAAATTGTATGACACCTGTATCACGCTTCAAGCCGTAAAATGTGAGTGATTCCCATCACATTCCAATCTCAGGCTCAGTCCCGTGAGCTCTGCAGGTCCGGTGAAACCAGAATAGCCCCTCGAGGCTATTAGTAATAACAGGCTACTGGTAGGAAAAAATATTCGTGGCAAATATGAGCACGATGACGGTACCGAGATTTGCGCGCTTAAAATGTGCCAAAGACGTAAATTTGTAAAGGTAATTATTTGTGGTAGGACTGGTGGTAGGACCTCTTGTGAGTCCGCGCGGGTAGGTACCACCACCCCGCCTATTTCTGCGAACTGTGAGACAGTAATGCGTTTCGGCTTGAAGGATGGGACAGCCGTTGTAAGTATACTGAGACCATAGAACTTATATCTCAAGGAGGGTGGCGCATTTACATTGTAGATGTCTATGGGCTCCGGTAACCACTTAACACCAGGTGGGCTGTGAGCTCGTCCACCCATATAGGCAATAAAAAAAAAATTGTTCACGTCTACGTTTCGTCTGTGTTACGTAAAAAATGCAAATCAGGATTGATATTGTTTTAAAAAACGATTGATACGACTTTATTCGTGCTCAGAATAAATACAATTTATTATTAAGTGCTAAACCCCTCTGAACTCGATTGAAGCTTCCTAGACCGAAAAGCAAGTTGCGTAGTCGCAGTAACTAGTGTTGCCTATTTCAGCCGCGAATAAATCTTCCGTCCCGATTCCTTTAAACTTTTGCTAGAATAACCTTTATTCTTAAATTGTAGTTAATAATCAAGGCGGGTGCTGCTCACTTTAGGTTAGGCCTAAAACGTGCACAATAAACATTTAACAAGATATTTTGCACGTCCAATTAAATGAAAATGTTTAAATTACCATTCAAATGATTGGTATCTGATCCGATAGATATAACGCGAAGGAAACAATTTTAACAAGCTGACTCTAATACGTTAAAACGCCACTATTATTGCTCGTTAAGCTTTGATAAATGGATAATAAAGCAGAGTAACAACATTTATTATAAATCACTTCATACTATGCCTTTATATATTGTACAAAATGTATGCATACAAAAGGTTTTATTTGCATAGTATTATAGAGACGTCTATAGTTATTAAGCATATCTGAATTGAAAGTGAAAGTGTATTCGAACAAGTTTGGATTTAGAATGTTATTTATTTAATTATTGCAAACGTTATTGGTTATATTTAGCTTATTTCAAATGTTATACAATTAACATTTGATTTATTTTGCAAGAGAAAATAATTTAGTATATTTACTGCTTGATGTTATGAGTGTTATGTTTGGAGTGAGGGATTATTACTGGTGGTCTGAAGGCCTTTCTAGTTTCATTAGGACAGGAGGGTGAGTACGGGCTCCGCCAGGTGTGGTGGGATTTGCGAACAGCTGTCCGAGCGTCTCCGAAACCTAATAGCTCAAGCCTAGCAGCTACTTCGCGGATTCATTTACAAGTGAATTAAAGCTTCTACTCGCTGAGAAAATCAAGCGAACCGATTTTAAGGGTTAGGTCCTCGTTGTACTACTTAATATACTATTATTTAATAGAATACAATATTCTACAATTTTCATGCAGATTCTTTTGTATATTACAATTGCTGTCTTATCATAATTTTGTAGTACGCTGAATATATTTTCTATCCTTTAGTGGAATATACCTTTAGAAGACAAAAAAATATGGTTTTATTATAAAGTGTAGCCACATCAATTCCGCTAACGTGATCATCGTTTGATAAATAGTATTTTCAGGATGAATGGGATGATAATATAACTGTTTTCCCTTTTCCCCTCCTTTTTTGGATCATGAATAGACTAGCTCTTGGTACTCTAAGATTACCAAAGCTAATAAAATTTCATTACATTCTAGGATAATATTATTTATTATTAAATTTGAAAAAAAAAAACGATTAGATCTTTAGAACAACTCTTAAGTCATTTAGAAATACTTGTTAACTTAAGCAATGATCTACTCAATTTTTGCAGCCAGTTAAGGCAAAAAAATGTGGTATCTTTTGATCTTTAATAGAAATTCATGTCGTTCGGGTATGTAATGTAACAATACACTATAACCAGATAATATTTCAACGTCGACTCTTTTCTGGTACATTATATCCATAACTGATATTAGAACACAATAAATATCTTAATACTCAACTAATCCCATATTACACGTCTATTTTATTTTAAGCAAATAAATCACTTGTTAAACGTTCGATAGTAGAATTACTTATCTATAATTTCCAGCAATTTAATTACCTTGTATTGATAGTAAAATTTAATAGCCTCGTAAAATTAGACGGTAGTATGTGAATAGATTTACTTTTGTTTGAAGACTGTTCGATTTAATCGTTTAAAACTGTAGATAAAGAAGCTTAACCAAAATTCACTTTTCTCACAGCCCACCTGGTGTCAAGTGGTTACCGGGGCCCATAGACATCTACAACGTAAATGTCGTCACCCACCTTGAGATATGAATTCTAAGGTGGTACCCACCCGCGCGGACTCACGAGAGGTCCTACTACCAGTAATTACGCAAATTATAATTTTGCGGGTTTGATTTTTATACACGATGTTATTCCTTCACCGTGGAAGTCAATCGTGAACATTTGTTGAGTACGTATTCCATTAGGAAAGTTGGTACCCGCCTAGGATTCGAACATCGGTGCATCGCTCAAAACGAATGTTTCGGACGTCTTATCCTTTAGGCCACAGCGACTTCAAAACACGTTCTATACTGGTCATAGCTGTCTTCGGGTAAATCAGCCCTTACTAAAGTTAGTGTGAACGTTTCCTATCTATAAGATAATATAGATTGTCGTGGTCTGTAGCGTGAGATGTTATTGTAACGTTTACGAGTATTATACAAATCGCTATACAATCACAGTTTGGTCATAGAAATCAAATTAACTTGACCATAATCAACGATCTTTAACGGTAAGCCTAAAAATTTTTGGCAAGATCGTTGACTGTTTACGAAATGAAAATGTCATCACCTTAAAATTTTAGTATAAACATACATAACATTATTTAAAACAAATGTAGACAATGTTAAATTATCAATTAAATTGAGCTTAAATTCTATGAATAAACTGAACTAATTTTTTTTACGATTTTCAAATATGCAGCCGATAAATAATGATCCAAACATTCTCACAAGCTAAATATCACTCTATTCGAAAGCTATTAACAGATGAAACGTAATTAAAATAATTTAAAAAAGACAATTAATAATATGGCGTTCGCCCACGTCGAGAACCGTAATGCTGTCGTCTCGCCTCCATAATAGCAGCATTTAATAGTTAACGAGTCATTATAGCATTGCCATTAGCACCACAGACACACGACTTACAAACGCATTAATAAATCGCAACTAACCGGTCGATCGCAATCAAATTTCAATTAACCACTTCTTTCGACCATACGACATAAGAACGTTGCAAAAACATAAATTAAGAAAGTCTTAAAAGATAAATTCTCTTCAATCATTCGTAGCAAATAGGATTTCGTTTCATTTACTCCGGTAAGAGCGTTTTCAATTAAGGAACGCCCGACAAACAGTATCGGCGTATGAAGGTAAAATTAATTAAACCGAGCCAAGACAAACATGTACGAATCTATTTGTGTTGGACGCGGATCGCGGAAAACTCCGAATACATGATATGTTTAAGGATTACACCGAAAGAAACTCAATCTGCTTTGCCTATTGAGATGGCTCGAACAGATCATAAAGGCTTTTATAAATCATAAAGCAGACTTTTTGTATATGAAAAAACATTTAGCAGAAAAAAAAGAGCGTGGCGAAACTGATGATTTTTTTGGGTAATTTCAGTTGAGATAAAATGCTTA